AACTCGTGAACGAAACAAAAGTATTACAGACTTTTGCATTGTTGCCTGCGACGGACATTTTCTTTTTCTGTGACGTCAGTTCGTTTGTGATGTCTTCTTAAAATGACGGTACTTTGTCGATAAATGTTAACCATTACACCGACATATACTAAATCAGTTTTCTTGATTTGGTCCCATTACTAAGTGATAGCTGAAATAACAATGCAAACCAGAATTCAGAATTATATTTTAAAGAAAAAGAGGTATTCCTTAAATTCAGTTTATCTGTTAGTCTACGATTATCATAACTTGAACCGGAATAAACTAAAACAAGCAATCAATAGTAACAGCACAATACAACAGCACTGTAAACAACAACATTTTGACCTGAACCACCCATTTGTTTAATCATTGTTCAGATATAAAAAAAAAACACTTCATTTTAAGGAAGTTTTTTCCTTATGTAAATACATGTATGTACATAAAATATATAGATGCCTGATTGCATGACAATCAATCTGTTTATATTTTACAGTAACAATCTTTTAATCAAAGGGAAATACGATTTATTTTTTACATCACATATCGTTGACGTAATGTCCATAGCACTCACAATCTATTTGGTAATACTTTAGATTGCGCTATACTCTTATGAACTCATGGGATGAATTTTAGTGATTTGATAAGTTTTCTTTAATATCATGCTTGTTTTTATCACGATTGTTTGCTAGCTGATATGCTATTCGAATCGGAAATATAACTAACATTTTTTTAAATGAGACAACTATCCACCCAAGTTCAAATGAAGTGAATGTACGCAAAAATAGGCAACCGTACTGCCTTCAACAATGAGAAAAACCCATACCGTATAGTCGGCTATAAAAGGCCACGGCATGAAAAATATGAAAGAATTCAATTGAGAAAACTAACGGCTTAATTTATAACAAAACAATTTATGGAAAACAAATATGACAGACACGAACCAACGACAACCACTGAACCACAGGCTCCTGGCTTGGGACAGGCACCGAAAGTGAGTGGCGGGGTTAAACATGTTGGTGAGCTCTCAACCCTCCCCTAACCTGGGACAGTGATGTTACAGTACAACATAAGAACAAACTATAAAAATCAGTTGGAAATGGCTTCAAACCTCCCCTAACATGGGACAGTGGTGTTACAGTACAACATAAGAACAAACTATAAAAATCAGTTGGAAATGGCAATCAGATCGATACAAAGCAGAAAAACATCTAACAAAAACACAGGCCGGATGTAGCAGGGTATTTATACATCCCTAACAGCAAAAGACACAAAGTACAGATCAGAGAGTACTCGCAGTTACTGGCAGCTAGTTCAAAGCCAATAACAACTAATAAAAGAAATCATTTATCTAAGACTAATATATCAATCAAGTATGAAATTTCGTATTTTCCATCTGTTACCATGGCAACAAAGTGCGTCAAAATTTTGACATTGTAAACACTGGGTGCCACATGTGGAGCAGGATCTGCCTACCCTTCCGGAGCACCTGAGATTATCCACGGTTTTTTGTTGCTATGTCTTCAGTTTTCTATGTTGTGTTTTGCGTACTGTTGTTGATCTTTTGGTCTTTTTCTTCTTTTTTCAAGTAGATAAAAATGTGTTTAAACTGTCTTTAATTCTTTTGATTTAAGTATAGTTTTGAATTGTCCCCTTCCAACCGGGAATGGTGGTGTATTTATACATCCCACACGGCCAAACAGACACCCATCTAAAACATACATTTTACTGCCAAATAAAGTTAAGAGAAGTCTGAATGGCCATATTTCTATACCCAAATTGATAATTTGAGTATTTGACCAACACACAATGGTTCGTACTTTGGATTGGAACACTTGGGTTGGAACACTTTCATAACTGGTTGGGTTTAAAAATTTGCTATCATTGAAATAAGAATAAAGGCACATAAGAAAACGGAAAATTACAATCCATTCAGAAAAGTCAGTTTTCTACAAATTAGACGAATTTAAATCATGTATAAAGAATATGAATAACTTGATAGTTTTTTCCTGACAGTATGTACGTGCAGATGCAGCTTTAACAATCATGGGATTCCAAAACTTTTTAAAACCCTAAAAATCGATATAGCCTTTTTCAATAATCAAAAACCCTGAAATCATTACTTTAGATCACAAGAGCAAAGTGCAAAATAAAATATTGCCAAATGCAGTCGTCATTCGGGTTAAGTCAACGATCTGTGATGTAAAAAATAATCTTATATTTCCTTTCATTCAAGGATTGCGTCTTAGATAATTAAGTATTTTCGTATGTGAATCCGGCATTAACATATTGATGTATAAACATGTACTCTTTTAAGGAACATACTTCCTTAAAGTGACGTTTTACTTTATATCTTAAAACAATGATTAAAATATAAGTAAATCACGGAGGCTGATGTTGTTGATAATACACTAACAGAACCTGATGTTTACAGTACTGTGTTCGAGTGCATTTCCTATTTGTGTTTGCTTATTTTTTCATATTTCTTTAATTCGTCGTTCGACGATTCTAGTCCGATTAAAGATATCATTATTCAACAGCAGATAAAACAAATTTGCAGGAATACCGCTTTTTCTTTATTATATGATTGTAAAGTGATTTTCTTTAACATGCATATTGCAGTCATGCAACAACATACCTCTATGTGAATTACCTATATACAATATAAAATTGATAATGTCTTAGGGCATTTACCCATCCTCTATAGTGTGATGCCTTTACACCGGATATTTTTCATCAACGAGGAGAAACACGACAGGTGTCACTTGTTGAGGAGGAACTGCTGACCTTTCCGGAGCAGTATATCAGTTAACCATAGTTGTTATTGGAGTTCGCGTTGCTCAATCTTTAGTTGGTCTTTGTACTGTTTATTAGACTGGTATTTGTCTTGTTGTTGTTTTTTTTCGACTTGTCATTTTATAGAATATATAATAATGGAAACGACGATACTTAAAGGTGTAAAAAAATTAAAATGAAAACTATATGAAATAATAACATTCAGTCAATTTTAAACTTCTAAGTTGTTAGAATTATTTTTCATTAATGTTTCACGAATAAAATACCTTTGTACAAAAACATATTTTTTTTTAAAAAGGCATTTAGATCCGCACAGAAGATATCTAACTGGATGCCAGCATATGCCATAGTCTTCAACAATAGACAAATGTTTACACAATATGTCTAGCTCCCAAAATTTTATGAAATAATCTGAAGGAACAAAAGAATGGCGTTCTTATCGGTGCCTTTGGTTTCGAATTAAAGCATTCTTTCTTGTTGATAAATTGGATCTCCCACAGAAGTGTTGGCTAGTTTGGCAAATCCTCTTGTCTATGAGCCTATCTGAAGTCAGGTACCTCGTTGGTGGTTGTTTTGTTTTTAGTTAAAATCTGTGTATCGAATTATTTGCAAATGGCAGAACTTTATCGAACTCTGTTGTCATATTGTGTAGACATCACCGTAAAACTCGTATCACGACAGCGCGTGTAATAAGGCGACATTATCAAGTGTAGGGGACTTGTCAACAAATTCTCAAAACATTTTGCCATTCATTGATGACAACGGATATGTTCCAGTTGTCGTAACTACCATCCCGTCCCCTTTTCCCCGAATTAGACTTATCACCGGGTTTGTATTAACATGAGCAACACGATGGGTGCAACATGTGGAGCACATCTGCATACCCCTCCGGAGCACCTGAGATCAACACCAGTTTTTGGTGGGGTTTGTGTTTCTCAGTCTTAAGTTTTCTATGTTGTGTTTTGTGTACTGTTGTTTGTTTGTCATTTTCTTTTTTGCTATGGCGTTGTTAGTTTGTTTTCGACTTGTTGCCTCTCTTTCATTGTAACGGTAATAAGTCACAACAAAATTGCAATGATAACATAACATAACATTTTCCGTTTTACATCTTGTTATTTTGCTAAAATTGCTTTAAATTCTCAAACGAGATATAGATAAATAGCTGCCGACCACATGCTTGATAAGTTCTGCCGGGACTAAACTATCTAACCTTACTTGAACTTTTGATCTGAGCTCTATTGAGATCAGTCTACCTAAACAAATGTAAACAATGCGGGGGTGGTAAATTAAATGATTTACAGTGAACACAATATACATTCAAACCAATAATAAACATAAATGTATTAAATGCACGTGTTTTATTTACATTCTACATTTCACATCAAATGATAAAAAAAGGAGAGAATTACACTGTCCCGTGGGAATCTGTAGATAGCTCTGACGCAAATGAACTATTAAGGTAGATCGGGTGTCTTCCTCCGTCTTGGATTATACAATAGCAGGAAATAATCGGTCTAGATCTTTAATTAAATGGGCAAATTTCAAGAGAGGAATGTAAATCATTTGTAAAACTTTCAACTAAATGAAGAAAAATATATGTCTTTTGATATTTTTATGACTGTTTCTTATAAATACAGAACATATTTTGTTTGATTCAATTTTTTCAACTATGTCATATAAGGGCAGATAACTCAGATAAAGTTACTTTTAAAAAGGAATGTATTATGAATTTACCTATATGTTTTGTAGCAAGAAAACGAGTCCCGTGACCAAAATTTTTCTGTTTATTTTGTGAAAGCACATTATAAGAACTATCTTCTCATATCTTATCTTTAATTTCTATTTCTATGGTTTAGTTTTCTTATTATCACACAACATAGTAGTTTTCATGCACAAACTATACAAAATGTGACAATTTTGCACAACCTGTATCTTTAAAAGAAGCCCCGTGGCCCTTACGTTTTATTATATATTTGAAAAAAGTATGATATACTATATTTTTGCAAATTATTTTAAAATTCTATGGATTTTAATATAGACCCCCCCCCCCCCCCCCCTGTCTACCTAATATGATATTGACAGCCCTCAATTAAGCACTTTCTCGCTATTTTTCATCCATTTTTGCATCACAAACGTACACGTAACATTTTACATGTGCCTGTCCCAAGTCAGGAGCCTGTAGTTCAGTTGTTGTGGTTGGTTCATGTCTGTCATATTTGTTTTGTTATAAATTAGGCCTTTAGTTTTCTCAATTAAGCGTTTAATATTTTTCATGTCGGGGCCTTTTATAGCCCACTATACGGTATGGGGTTTTCTCATTGTTGAAGGCCGTACGGTTGCCTATAATTGCTTACATCCACTTTTTTGAACTTTGGTGGATAGTTGTTTCATTGGCAATCATACCACATCTCCCTATTTTTATACGTAAAATTTTACGTTACAAGAGAAATATCTAACGCCACAGTGCAATGATTGTTGTATGATGCTTTTTTTGTATCAAAATGTTGAGTCGAATGTCGCAGATTTCCGAACAGCGATAAGGCATATTGGTAATTACCGGAACTTTTCAGTTCCAAGATTTAGCAATCGGTATGAAAATATAAACTTACAATCAAATCAAACTGCACAAAACAAAGGGACGATAACTTACAAGTAGACATGCAAACTTAAATGTCAACGATCAAGCTACAGATATCACAATGAATCGAAATAAAAGTTATTAAACCAAAGTATCGGCAGTTTAGAATTATAAATGTCACAGGTGCTGAATTGGAATCATTCCTTCAGGAGCAACAAAAATCTAGATCTACTCTCAATATTTTTCAATCATTCATGAAAACAAAACTCAATGTGAAAGGAAATGTTTAAGGAATCCCTCCCTAAGTGTAAGACATAATGATATGTTTTTTAGTGCAACAAAAGAGATAGAAATAAATGGAACAATTAAATATGAACCATCGTCGAATTTAATTTAGTAAAATCAATTAATCAAAGATAATACTGAAAGAATTTGAAGAAAGCAGGACACAATACCTTGTAGACCTGATACAATGAAAAAAGATGATTTCCATCTTTAAATACAAGCAAATACTTTTCAAGGTACCAATTATGAAGGTACTTTGGTACAAAAACCTTAGATTTACACGGTACAAAATCGATATCTAAAATATTTTTTTTTAAATGGAGCTTCTGAAGAACTGGCTTATGGTAAGAGATTCATAGGTCACACTGCAAGGAAAGGGTCAATTCAGAAACAGAAAGACGCCGGAGTTCAGGTCACTATAATAGTTCAAAGAACAGGACATACAAATGTGAACAATTTTATATTATCATGTTCAAAAACACATAATTAATGGCACTCACAACAAGAAAAACAAATAATGCATGCTATAATGTCAACCAGTAAAGAAATACCAAATCTGTAGAAACAATTACTTCAGTAAGTAACAATAACATTAACTATTAGCAATAAAATAATCAGTCTATTTATCATTGACATGTTGAGCTTGCTTTTAGTAATTTGTTTTGCATTCCATTAACAATGTATTCGTTTATCAATATCTCTTGTAATTAAAATTATACATTTAGTTAGTTTGTATCGGACTTATATGGTTAATTAAGTTTTTTTAAAGCTAAGAATTTAAAGGCACCATATATGGCAAATGAGTAAACTGTTGATTTTAATATTATGATTATCATAATCAAAAGAAAAAAAACCCATTTATTTAAATTCTTTTCAAAAGATGATTCGAAATTCCTCGATACATAATGGTGTTATTTCAAAAATACAAATTCACGTTTACAAAATCGTTCAAGGTAACTTGAATCATAATACAACAATGAACCCAAGTGTTATGTTTATTTATGTATTTTCATACTACTTAAGTCAAGAGACTATTTTTTGTAAACATGATCAATCCGGTGTGTCATTTAAATAGATAAGATCTTGTTGGTAAATTTCCATGTGACATGAGTAGTATAAATAGACTGTGTTTTACACAGTTGATTCAGACATATATTTAAACCTTGGAAGTTGTACACAAAAAAAGGAAACAGCCTTAAGCGAGCATGGATACTAAATGTTTGATGGTGCTTTTTATGTTCCTGTATATTGTGTTTGTTTCTACAATTGAGGCAGTTCATTACATTACCAAACCATTTCTGTTTATCGGATCATGTAAGTTTTTCTTTTTCAATATTTGAAGTATTTTTAGTTTTTTATTTACATTTATTCTGCAAATTACTTTCACAATATAGTCAACACATGATGTTATGTTAAGTTTATTGTGTTGTTTTGTTTTGTTGTCGACGCATTGATGAATTCCCTGCTTCTAATTCAGTGCGCATGATACGCGTTACTTAAATACATTTCAATGGGAACCCTTCAGACAAAATTTTTTTTTAAGCAAAATAGATTAAAGGTAAAGAAAAATCAAATCAATTGATAGTTTAAAGATGTTGGCTGAAAACATCAACTTTTCAATAAGTTATTTCATTCCGTTTTCAGGTTATGGGAAAGGAAAACGTGTGATAGGACAAAATACAGCAGAAATGGATTGAAGAATTTACTTTATTGGAAGAAATTAATAAGGATTACATAATACCAGGAATGAACAATTCGTGCTGAGACAAATCGAAGATGAATTAAACAAAGATGCTCCGATTCTCGACACTATTCGATCCCGTACCGACTTCATAGTCAACATTGCACCGGAGAAGAACTGCGATGACGATAAGCTTAGAGGATAATTCGTCAACGGTTTTAAAGGCTACGATCGTAATTTAAGAGAAATATTTGACATAAACTTCGATGTACATAAAAGAACAGTAATACATTTGCAGCAAAAAAGATCATAAATAAAAACAGCGATGTATAAGTGTTGTTAGTTGTTTACAATATATAGCGGTTTTATTATATACAAATGCGTGGGAAGCTTTAATGTTATCTTCTTTGCCATTTGATATTTAGTTTTTAACTTCCTAATATATAACTTAGCTCAAACTGATTTTGATCGTGTTGATTTATTGTAAAGCTTTCTTTCTATGTATGTTAAACAATATCCATTTTGTTACATCTGGTGATCCGTTTATTTGGCAATCGCCAATGGCAGTCAGCAAGGTTTAAGAACATCCGTTGTTCGACCTGCTAGTCAAATGCGTTTTGTGAAAATATACTTTTTCACTGTTTTGGTCTTTTGGAAAATGTTGTTTGTGCTGTATTTAGACCCCTCTACCAAGAAATTTGTTTACGCCAGTTTGTTGTTTGTCGACAACAGACTGATCAGTGACACTCGATCAAACAAGTAAAAAGGTCAATTAAAGTACAATGCATAACTGTAACTTTGACTTTATGTGAAATATTTGGGTAATTTTGGTAAGCGTAAGGAAATAAGATCACTACTGAAACATTGTTAAATGTTTATTTTGAATTATTAAAGAATTATATGAGTTTAAAAAAAGAAGGGCATGTTTGCCTTTTCTCTGATCAGAAGTATGTATTTTTGCACTTCCGAACTTCCGTGAACCAGCTAGTATGCTCTTACGTTTAATACAAGATAAATTTAATTTTTATCATAAACCAAGTTTAGGTATTATTGCAATATGAAATGACTGTCTCTTTAAATAAACTTAAAACACAATGGAAAAGGCAAGAATTTATTCGCATAGAAAGCAATGAGTTCATGAATTACCGGTTTTATTTGTTTAACTGTGTCTTTGATTTTGATGAGTGGTCATATGGATAGTATAGTCACATGTTTATGAATAATATGTGTACTATTATTTCAATGTTGAAAATCTTGCCAATGACTGTCGACGACTCTTCATGATTTCTTCTTTTGAATCTTATGATGATGATAGATATTTGATAATTAATTATTCTATTGGTGTTGGTCATCGTTGTTTAATTGCTTAACTCAGTGAAATAAAAAGCTTGTCATACGTGATAAGCTCTTGTCTGTCGTTTATAACGATATCTCTACATGTTCATTTTCGTTAACTTGCATTGATAGGTGACTGTCTCATAGACGTCTATCACAGGTACCCTTCAATTTATCGTTACGATGGCAATCAGGAACAGGTATCAAAATAAAGAGGTAGAACTATTGTCCTCTGTATTGGTTTCACTGATAGGGTCGAAATCTAAAAGTTGTCAAAATCTGTTGGAATTTGGATGAAACGGAGTCTCTAGCACATGCATGATAAGAGTCAAACAATAAAAATGTAGTTCGTTGCTACAAAAAGACGGAGATACTAAAAGGAGGATCAAAACATATAAGTCGAAATATGATTAATCCCTTTCTAAAACGAGGTATTTGTATCTCCATTGGCCATAATGTTGTATGATAAAAATTCGACTAACTTTTCAATCTGTCCTTAAGTTTTGAATGATAAATACTAGTGTAAAGGGTAGAGAAATGCAATGTTTTGTACTACTAGTATTTCAATAGGTAAGCGACTAAAATTGTAAAAGTCTCACGGATCTTTATTTTTTTTAGTCTCCACATCTGATTCACACCGCCCTTAAAGTACATAATTTCACTGTAAGTCCGGCTTTGATTTTGATAAAATAGATGTTAAAGAGAAAATTGGAAAGATGTTTCGGAGAGTGTTTCACAGTTTGGTAGAGCCAGCAATATAACGTTTCAACGTGAATTGTCAATACCTAACTTCATAATGAAGCAGTTTATGTAATGTGATTTACAAACACAAACGGTATCTGTAGAGACGAAGATAATATTTTTCATAAAGGTAGGACTGGTGTTTAACGGTATTCAGATCTTTTAAGATAGTTGTAGCACGAGTGTTCACATTCTCATTAAGTTTTTTTAAAACCTATTTGCATCAACTACCTCAAAGCTTCCACCAATTCTGAAAGAGTATCTGCGTCTTCCTCTTCACGTTCAGCCCATTGCCTGGAATAATCATCGACTGAATCCACTAATATTTTAAAGTTACATTTCAAATTTATGGATTTAGGATTACAGTAATAATGCCATTTTACATCACGTTTCGCAGAGGTGTGTTGTTGACAATGTTTAGGTCACAGGTAATAACGTGCCCAGCCATATTATATATGAATCGGGGACTACATGTGAATTTGTAACTAGAATGGGTTCAATCAGGAGGTTAAGACTTGCCCTGGAGTCGTCAATATTACAATACGCGTTAATAGTTCATATTTGAGCCCAGTAGATGTAGTAAAGGTATAAGAGATGACAGGAACATACAGATTTTTAGAGAATGGAGTTTTTTTTTCGATTGAACTGATTTTTATTGAACGATATTGCCTCAATCGATGCATCGAGACCTTTGTTTTCAATTCGGTTCTCCGTTAAATCTTTCCCAATGCTAATTCATTTGCTGTTGGAGGCAAAATTACATGTTTACATGTCTTTGTAAAATTTTGCATCGAAGGATGTCCTTACCTAAATGAATCATTTTTTTTCCGGAACACAACATGTAGTTTCACAGGAAATACAATTTTGGTTTTGTTACGAATGTCCTTTTCAAACATTGTTTTATTCTCATTTTTCTAAATCTGACAAAACTACGTTTTGTGCTATCTTAATAAGTGGTTTATAATTTTATGATATGTCTAGACCTCAGAGTACATTCCTGGAAATCTGATACTATGCATTTATGAAATTACACAGATGTCGGTGAAATCGATTGAGATCTTTAAGAATTTGAGAGACCTGTTAATACTTTTTCTGAATATTTCTTTAAAAATATATTTTCCAAGTTTATGTTAATAGGGTAAGTTTTAAAAAACGTTTCTTCTCTATATGGTAACATTTGGGTGAATTTAATGTACAGCAAATATATCTAAGTAAATCAGATAAAACAGATTATTTAACATATGCAGCTGAAAAGAAACCCTCTTTCAAGCTATCAGTTGATCCAATGAATACACCTACTAAATAGTTAGGAACTTTGATCTTAGTTTTCTTTGTAAAGCAAAGAACCTTCGTCAAAGTGTTTTGAAACACCATAGTTAATGATACCGAACAATAGCTATATATGAAAGGATCATGTTTCGCCAACTATGAGTAAATTATACATGTAAGAAGAAAACCGTAAGAAAATGTTTATCAATCGTAACCACTAAGATATATAAATCATCTTTCTGCCTGTGCATAACCACATTTAAACATGTCAATTATAAGTAATGAATTTAAAACATTTTGATACAAATACATAAGGTCGTTGCCATTAGAAGTTGTAAAACGTTAGGTACATGTTTACTTCAGCCTACTTAACTTGGAAAACTTGTTTTCATTATTCAACCGCCTACATCTTAAGATGTATATTTGAGAAAAAACCATTTTGGATTTCCGTCTACATCTTAATATTTTTTCTTATAAAAAGATAAGCAAATAACATATTTCTGTTATTTAACTTCAAATTTCACCCATACAAACTATATAGCTAGAATATATAAAATATTTGGGCAAGCTTTGCAAGCTACACACTGCTAACCATCTTACTTCGTCTAACAAATATTGCAATCTGCCTATGTCCGTCTGTTCATTTTTCGATATCTCTTTGTCAGTGTTTCGTATGTCCAATATTGATTTTGAAACTTTTCATTGATCAAAATAAATCAACGTAGGTCTTGACGTAACTTTGCAGAGTATGTAATGATAGAAGTTTACAGTGTTGGATTTGTGCAGCCAGGTAAGGTTCATACCTTGAACTACACAGAAGTGTCTCCTAACTATGCTCTATACCTTGACATTAACAGAAGTGTCTCTTAATTATGCTTCATACCTTGACCTACAAAGAAGTGTCTCCTAACTATGATTTCTACCTTGACCTAAACATAAGTGTCTCCTTACTATGCTTCATACATTGACCTACACAGAAGTGTCTCCTAACTATGCTTTATACCTTGACATTAACAGAAAAGACTCCTAACTATGCTTCATACCTTGACCTACACAGAAGTGTCTCCTAACTATGCATTATACCTTGACCTAAACATAAGTGTCTCCTAACTATGCTTCATACCTTGACCTACACAGAAGTGTTTCCTAACTATGCTTTATACCTTGTCATTAACAGAAGTGTCTTTTCACTATGCTTCATATCTTGACCTACACAAAAGTGTCTCATAATTATGCTTTATACCTTGACCTAAACATAAGTGTCTCCTTACTATGCTTCATACCTTGATCCACACAGATGTGTCTCCTAACTATGCTTTATACTTTGACCTAAACATAATTGTCTCCTCACTATGATTCATACCTTGACCTACACAGAAGTGTCCCCTAACTATGCTTAACCAGAAAAACTTTAAACTATACATAGATGAATACAAATACTTTGTTTATCTAACTGTCCTTTCCACTCTTTCTCTCAAAGTTGTTATCTTAAGGTGTTTTCAAGCATAGCTGTCGACATAACCGGTCTTGTTTCTCATGTGATTCCCTCAGCTTTTGTTTTGTTACCTTGATTTGTCTCTTTCTAATCGATTTACGTGATTTTAACTTCGGTAAACTACTGTCGTCTCAATTTATTGCTTTTAATTTTGGCGAAGTTTCATACTTTCAAATAAACTCCTCATAGATACTAGGCTTTAAATTGTGTACGCCAGACGTGCGTTTCGTCTACAAAAGACTCATATGTGACGCTAAAAAAATGTTTAAAAGGCAAAATAAAGAACGAATTTGAAGAGCGCTGAGGACCCAAATTCCGAAAGGTTTTGCCATATACAGCTAAGGTTATCTATTCCTCGTGTATAAATCCTTCATATTTCGAAAAATTCAAAGTTTTGTAAACAGTTGATAAATAAAGAGAGGCGAAATATACCAAAGAGACAATCAAAATCGTAAGTCGAAAATAAACTGACAATGCCATGGCTAAAAACGAAAAAGACAATCAGACAAACAACAGTACACAAAACAAAACATAGAAAATTAAAGACTGAGCAACACGAACCCCACCAAAAACTTGGGGTGATCTCAGGTGCTCCGGAACGGTAAGCAGATCCTGTTCCACAT